CTCGTGCAGCACGCGAACCTAAGAATATGAATCCTTGCAGTCACGAAAGCTTCAAATCTAGAATTCGCTACACTACCGTTCCCCACCAGCACCACCACCCGAGTGTTTATTTTGTACTGACTGACGTCACAATGAACGCGTCATTAGCCCCGCCCCCTGGCCCTGCTTGGCACCGAGGCCGTCGTTTTAAAGAGTCAGCCGCGTGGCTGCACCGCGGGTTTGTTGGCGGCAAGCCGCTGGCTTTGACAGCCGTGACGGGGGAGGAGGGGGGGGGGGGCCTCGGCACACGGCGACGAATCGAATCGTCGGCGACACTTTTATTTTTTTTTGGGGAAATTTATTTTCGCGAGCCCGGTGACAGACGCACGACGCGTTGCGCAATGACGGGAGCCACGACGACGGTTCACCTTGCGGCTCCCCTTCGCGCGCTGACGAATCGCGACGATTCGGGCTCTTTACCGAATCGATGAATCTTGCTCTCTCTATCTATCTATATGTTAGTTTTGTGTTGAGGTAGGGGGGGGGGGGTGCCCTGGAAATAATTGATAACCCCCAGCGTGTAACTGCCCCCCCAAAGCAAGGGGGGGGGGGAGGCTTTTGTTTTGAGTCGGCGGATTGAGTAGCTGGGCAAAAAACGAAATGAAGAATGAAGTTCGCTTTGCAACCACCTGTGTGGGGGAGATTGCACGACACAACCTATCAAAAGTGGATTGCAAATTGTCCCAATGAAGCCAGGCATGGGTTATCTTTAAATAATACACACAACGACAAACATCCCCCCCCCGCCCCCCTCGTATAGACTTGTGCTATTAGCGAAAAGCAACACCCTACGCCCGACCGCCTTTTTCTCCCCCGGCGGCGATGTTTACTCGTCATTCGAGGCCGCGATCGACCGAAGGGGAGTACGGCGGCCCCGGGTGCACCGGTTGCAGATAATAGTCACCGCTAGTCGATGGGTTCGCGAGCCGGGAATCGAACTCGGGTCCGTCCGGGTTCGCAGCGCAGCGCGCGAATGCACAGTGTGCGCTATCGATGCGCTTCTCCGCATAAGCAGTCGTTCATTATCGTCCGTCTCATTTACTACATTACGCCAACAGGATGCATGAGAATTTACAGCGATTAGCGTACTCCGAAGAAAGAAAAAAAAATCATTAAGTTTCACGCAAAGAATATATTTTCATCGAGACCCGGTCGCAATTAAACCGGGTTTCTCAAGTGCAGCGAGTTGATGATGATCATGACTGATGGTCTGAGCCCGGCTACCAATGACTCAGAGACCCATAGACTTATTACACAAGAGACTCACAGACTCGCACAGAGATCCACAGTCTCACACGGGAGTTGTGGTTTAAACTTGGGTGCTGACGTGTAGAGAGTTGATTTGTGGTCTCAGCCCGGCCACCAATGGCTCAGAGACCCATAGACTTACTACATTAGAGACCCACAGACTCGCATAGAGACACACAGACTCGCTAAGCGAACAATAGGTTTCACACAGGAGTTGTGGTTTCAACTGGTGTGCTGACGTGTAGCGAGTTGATTTGTGGTCTCAGCCCGGCCTCCAATGGCTCAGAGACCCATATACTTACTACATTAGAGACCCACAGACTCGCATAGAGGCACACAGACTCGCTAAGTGAACAATAAGTATCACACAGGAGTTGTGATTTCAACTGGTGTGCTCAAGTGTAGCGAGTTGATTGGTGTTCTCAGCCCGGCCACCAAATAAACTGCACACAAACAAAACTTTATTTATTGCTTTCTCCCCCCCCCCCCACTTCAATTGGCTACGTTCTAGCACTGAGCATTAATAACATATTTATATATTTTTTTACGCGTAACGCGCCGCACAGCATTCGCTCGCTCTCGTACAGAGGCCGCCTTGGAGGACGGGGGGGGGGGGGCAGCAGCAGCCACAGGATCGGCCACGCGGTGGCGAGGGAGCCGGTGGCAACAACAAAAACAACCTCTCCCTTGCCAAGCTCTGCGGGTCCTCTACTAATGTGCGTATTGTATATACCACGTGGGCAGCTCCCGAGGAAATGCCACGTGTGTCAGTGAGGTGTGGGGGGGGGAAACACTCCGTCTCATCTTGTCGAGATTTATATCGAAGCGCCTTGTTCCGAGGCGTTTCGCAGCGATTCAAAAATTGTACACGCACGGTCGTAGTGGGGTTGAGATAATAAAGAGCGGTGAGGTTGTTGTTGTTGTTATTTAAAGTGGTGGTGGTGCAGTTATGGGGACAGTTAGAAGAGGCGGGAGTGGTTAAGGAGGGATTGGGGATAGTGATAGGGGTTAGAGTAATGATATGGATAGTGATAGGGTAGTGATAGGGGTTGGGGTAGTGATAGGGGTCAGCGTAGGGGTTGGGATAGTGATAGGAGTTTGAGTAGTGATAGGGGTTGGGGTAGTGGTAGGGGTTGGGGTAGTGATAGGGGTCAGGGTAGTGATAGGGGTCAGGGTAGTGATAGGGGTCAGGGTAGTAGTCACAGGGGTTGGGGTGGTGATATAGGTAGGGGTAGTGATAGGGGTTTGGGTAGTTGTGATAGGGGTTGGTGTGGTGATAGGGGTTTGGGTAGATGTCATATGGATTTGGGTAGTTGTGATAGGGGTAGGCCCGGTAGTAGCTGGGGTGCGGGAGCAGGGAGTAGCAGGAGCATGCTGGGCGAGAGAGAAGAGATGGAGCAGTTGCAGTCCACATTTACCTCGACCGCCTTCTCCTGCCGAGCAAGGGAAAGGCACTCCCCCGGCGCCCGCGCGGAGTGTTGCCAACACGTGGGCCACCCTGGAAAATACCGCGGTGTATTTGACCAGATGTATGTGCGCACCGTCTGCCCCGCAGTGCACGCGAACGGACCCCGGGATAGTATTCGAGAGCTGGCCACGTGCGTTGGCATCACGGTTCAAATTTTGCCAAATCACACCGCAATTTTACTCGATTTGTATTCCTTTGTGTGCCTATCCAGGAGGGCAGCACAGAGACCCAGATCTCTGTCAGTGGAGTCCTGCTCCTGCTGCTGCTCCTGCTGCTGCTGCTCCTGCTGCTGCTGCAACTACACTGAGGTTTTTATTGAGAGACGTTTACAGCCAATTTACGACGAGTTGTTTTACACGTGTGGCGGCAGGAAATTACGCCGAGAAAAACCCCCGAGAGACGGAGAACAGATGGCGGGCGACGAGCCCACACTTGCTGCACCGCCTTCTCCCGGCGAGCCAGGGTGTGTGGTCGGCCTCGTCGACGCCCATGGGAAAGGGAGTTTGGCAGCCCGTCTCCGCGTGGCGATCCACAAACCCCCATCGCCGCCTCCCCGGCGCTGGGGCTACAGGAAGCCACGTGCAGCGGCCAACGTGGTAAAACCACAGAGCGACCGTTGCCCCGTGGACTACGAAATACCCCGACTGGACTCATCGGTGGCAGGTATAGTGCGCGCTCGTGATAGCCTTGCGAACAACGCGCTCGCGTCGTCTGAACCTCGCCCAGGGTTTGTGCGGTAAGAGCAGAGGACACTCAACGTCCGCGCGCGTGTCGAGTTTAATCGCGCGTCGTAGCCACTTGATGTGCGTCGGAGCTCTCCCGGCAGGCGGGAGAGAGGAAGGGGTCGGCCGGGGGGAGGGGGGGGACAGGAGGGGTCCCCCCGCAAGCCGGCAGTTGGGGGGGGGGGTCGACTCGACCCATCACAACGCTCCGGAGGAGGGTCGGTAAAATACGTATCACTTTTGTGGGCGGCGGAGAGGGGGGGGGTCAACAGGGGTTGTGCGATGAGAGACTTTGCACCCCCCACGATAGGAACGTGGAATTATTTCCACTGACTGGTTCGGAGCAGTAAAGAGATGAGCAGGAAAATCACTTTGACGTTTTTTTTTGTCACATATATGCAAATGATGGTAATATTACATTTTGGCTCATGGAGCGAACAAGACTGTACAAAGGAGTCAAACAATAGAAGGCGACGCAAACGAGACGGTGAAAAGGACAGAAAAAGGAGTGGAATTTTCGCAGACGTTGAGTTCACCACAATTCCTCAATTCGTCAGTGGGACGTGAGGGGGGGGAGGGCGAGGGGAAAATCACGACACCCTTGCAGTTCCCGAACGTGCCATGATCATCATCATCATTACCGCGAATGTGAGGACGTCTCGTACGCATCCACGAGCGACGTCACATCGATGCGCGTCACGTTCGCGGGTGTGACATCACAATCACAAACGACGTCACATCAACATTCCTGAAAGCGACGTCACGATCGCGAAGGTCACGTCGACATTCTAGGATGCGACGTCACGTTCGTGACCGTCAGATTTTCGATCTGACATTCACGTATGTGACGTCGCCTCCGTGAATATCAATCTGACGTTCACGAACGTGACGTCGCATCCTTGAATGTCATTCAAGGATGCGACGTCACATTCGCGAACGTCAGATCGACATTCAAAGATGCGACGTCACATTCGCGAACGCCAGATCGACATTCACGGATGCGACATCACATTCGCGAACGTCAGATCGACATTCACAGATGCGACGTCACGTCCGCGGATGCTCGCCAACGGCATCGCGCTCGCCGACAGCACGAGGCCGCCGTTTGCGAGCGCGATTTTGATCGCTTGTGCGCGAGCGGCGGCCGCATCCCCCCAACGTCGCGTCGGCGTCGCACGACCGCGACGTCGCAATCGCGAAGACGGACGTCCCCGCCGACGTCGGATGGTCACGCCGTCGGCAGCGCCGTTGCCGCCGCCAGCGCCGTTGCCGCCGCCCCAGCCGGATGAAGCCAGGTGGCCGCTTGCGAGTGGGTCCAACAACAGCTGACCCCAAACTCTCCACTCGCGGGTTCCGCCGGACGAAAGCCACATTGTTAGCGAGGACGAGCACGTGCCCTGGCCGTGGGGTGTTTTTTTGTTACTCGCACGCGGACCGGCTCTGCGTGTGAAACCTCGACTATGGTCGGGAAAGCATCGTTTGAAGCCTCAGGGATTTAAGAAAACAAACGACCAACATCGCAGGAGAGTCCTGCTGCTACATTTATTTGGAGTTAGGGGGAGGGGGGTGTGTGTGTGCTTGACAACATCCACGTTAGAAGCGTTCTGAACACTACGACCAAGTCCTCTCTGAAACGATAAACTATTTTGTTTTGTGTTACCAGGTAAGGACCACTGAGCCGTACAGCTCTTTTTTCAGAAGCGACCTGGCCACCGAAATTGATGGGTCAACCAAGTGGCTCGTCGTCACGGGGAAATGTACAGCAGCCAAATGCCCCGATCGCACGTCGATTCTAAATGTGGAGGGGGAAGAAAAAAAACTGGAGGACATGAGAGAAAAATCCAAGCGACCACAGAGAGAGAGAGAGACACGCAGACTCCAAATATACAGGTGCCAGAGACGGGATCGAACCCCACAACCTCCTGCATAGGTACGTATGTATGTTGAACTTCTTTTGCGCCGTACATAGCCAACCGTGCTAAATCGGAGGGGCGGGGGAGTGAACATCTCACCACCGGTGGCCAGTTGGATCTGATCACCCATCTCTCTTCTCCGTGGTTCGGCCCTGCCCACCTGCTCGGTCATATCCGCTAGGTTCCATCTGGTAGCTTCAGGACTCTCTTTCTCTACGGTTGGCCACCAGACCCTCCTACTCCCAGCACACCTGATGGATGTTGGTCACGTGCATCTCTTAGCACCGGGTCCTCTCTGTCGGATGGAAGGGGGGGGGGAGCGAGGAGGGCACGGACCGGCGTTCTGGCCGCGTCAGATTTGGCAGCTGCTGTTGCCGAAAGCTGAGGAACAACGGGAAGGGATCACAACGCGAGGTGACGGCGGTGGCGCCGATTTTAACCAACCCTTGCGGGGGTGGGGGTAGCGGAAGGCAGAGGTCGCAACCGGGTACCCGATACCCGTACCCTACCCGATACCCGGCTACCCGTACCCGGCCGGGTAAGGGTACGGGTAGCCGTTTGCGACCCTGGTGCGGCCGGGTACGGGTAAGGAATCAAAACCCGTTTGCGACCTCTGGCAGAGGGTGGACGCAGCTCCTCTGCACCGTCCGTCTAGAGAGCTTGGGAGCGGGTTCAGGGGTGGGGGGGAGGGTGGGGGGGGGCAGCGGGGGGAGGGGGAGTGCGGTAGGGGGCGGTGGGGGTAGCGGAGGGTGGACGCAGCTCCTCTGCAGATCTAGGGATCTCGAGACCGGGTCCACGCCTCCGAATATTTCCAGAGTTGGGGGGGGGGGGGGGGGGCAGCGGGGGGTGAGGGGGGGGGGCCGAGCCGGCGGCCTCGACCCGGGCCACTGCCCGCAGCGCGAGCCTCTCTCTCCTCGCCCCGGCTCCGAGATGAAACGACGAAACGCGACGTCGCCTGGGGAGCGTCGGGGGAGGGGGAGTCGCGCTCGGCGACCCCGCGGCGCGCCGTATAATTATTTATATATATGTATAAATATAGTACAATTCCAGTGAGATCAAATGTTTAAAAACGAGCAAATTTTTACAGGGCGTAGGCGATGAAAGCGTGGTACGACGGCGGGTCTTCCGCGTCGTTTCAACGTTTGTTGTTGTTGTTTCTACGTTCATCTCGCCAAAGCTGGCTTCATTTGAAATGGATTCCCAGGTTGTAAGGGAGAACCTGGCTGTGCAGCGACTGCTGTGCCGGTGGGGGGGGAGCGCGGGTACTAATGGATGCCCAAGTTACAAGATGCTCGTTATGATCATGAATCCAGGAAGATGCAAACAGATTGTCTTACTTGTCCTCTACGTATGCTGCGTTATTTCTTTTTTTTTTACTCTGTTCACATCAGACGCTCGCGAAAACCAAACCTAAATCGGGTTCTGCGAACAGTCGTTTGAAAAATAAACAAGCGAAAGCCAAGATAACGTTTCAGATTTCCTGCCCGATTGCTATACGTATATAAGTTAGTCTCCGCTGCGCTAAGCTAACCACTATCGGCACGGAGGAGGCCAAATCGACTGTAGCCAAAAAGTAGAATAAACCACACAGGGGGGTAGAGGTTGAGGGAGAAAATAAAAACCTCCAGCAACGGAGTGATTCGAGGCGGAACGGCGCGGTCATTGTAAGCGATCGCACTTTCAATCCGCGGCGGGGGGCGGGAGGGGGGAGCGGTGTGGGTATGACGTCGTGACGGAGTTGTGTAGAGTGATGTGGGTATGACGCCGTGACGAGGTTGTGTAAAGTGATGTGGGTATGACGTCGTGACGGGGTTGTGTAGAGTGATGTGGGTATGACGCCATGATGGAGTTGTGTAGAGTGATGGGGGTATGACGCCGTGATGGAGTTGTGTAGAGTGATGTGGGTATGACGCCGTGACGAGGTTGTGTAGAGTGATGGGGGTATGACGTCGTGACGGGGTTGTGTAGAGAGATGTGGGTATGACGCCGTGACGAGGTTGTGTAGAGTGATGTGGGTATGACGCTGTGACGAGGTTGTGTAGAGTGATGTGGGTATGACGTCGTGACTGGGTTGTGTAGAGTGATGTGGGTATGACGTCGTGACGGAGTTGTGTAGAGTGATGTGGGTATGACGTCGTGACTGGGTTGTGTAGAGTGATGTGGGTATAACGCTGTGACGAGGTTGTGTAGAGTGATGGGGTTATGACGCCGTGATGGAGTTGTGTAGAGTGATGTGGGTATGACGCCGTGACGAGGTTGTGTAGAGTGATGTGGGTATGACGCCGTGATGGAGTTGTTTAGAGTGATGTGGGTATGACGCCGTGACGAGGTTGTGTAGAGTGATGTGGGTATGACGTCGTGACGAGGTTGTGTAGATTGATGTGGGTATGACGCCGTGACGGAGTTGTGTAGAGTGATGTGGGTATGACGTCGTGACGAGGTTGTGTAGAGTGATGGGGGTATGACGTCGTTACGGGGTTGTGTAGAGTGATGTGGGTATGACGTCATGACGAGGTTGTGTAGAGTGATGTGGGTATGACGTCGTGACGAGGTTGTGTAAAGTGATGTGGGTATGACGTCGTGACGAGGTTGTGTAGAGTGATGGGGGTATGACGTCGTTACGGGGTTGTGTAGAGTGATGTGGGTATGACGTCATGACGAGGTTGTGTAGAGTGATGTGGGTATGACGTCGTGACGAGGTTGTGTAAAGTGATGTGGGTATGACGTCATGATGGGGTTGTGTAGAGTGATGTGCGTATGACGTCATGATGGAGTTGTGTAGAGCGATGTGGGTATGACGTCGTGACTGGGTTGTGTAGAGTGATGGGATGGAGTTGTGTAGAGCGATGTGGGTATGACATCGTGACTGGGTTGTGTAGACCAATGGGGGTATGACGTCGTGACGGGGCGGTGCACAGCGATAGCGCTATGACCCCGTGTCGTATTTCACAAGCCTCCAGCCCGGCGTTGGCGTGCGCTACAATCCGCGAGCCTGCCAGCAAGCGTGGCTGCGGCAAGCCGCGAGCGGGCACCCGTGATTACACCGCCATCGTTCCCCATCCCCGCCGCACCTCCCTCGAGCCCTGGCCTTGCTGCTGGGTTCCACCGTTTATTTCCCCGACACGAGCGAGAAATATCCCCGGGTTAGAGACCACGTCCCGTGCGAATTAGCTCCTGCTCGGGACGCACCTCAACAGGTGTTAATATTTTCGCGCACCTGGCACGCACCGCCCCCCCCCTCCTCACCCCCCGTACTTTCCCTCTCGCTGCGGCCGTGACATCCTGCCAGTCGCGTGCCACCCCACTCTGCTCGACCGGCGTTTAAAAAAAGAAAAGATTCAATGATAAATCGGGCCCTGACTTTAACTTGCAATGAAGCCTCCCGTCTCAATTTCAAACGGTGGTCGTGATGGCGACGGCAGTGGTGATGGTAGTGATGACAACACTGGTGGTGATGGTAGCGAGCATGGTAGAAGTGTCGGCAGTGGTCGTGTCGGCAGTGGTTGGTGGTGCGGTGGCGGTGGTAGCGTCACCGGCGGCGGTGGCGCTGATGATTGAGGTGGTGGTAGGGATGGTGACGGTAAAGGTGATGAAGGTGGTGGCGGTGCTACTGTTGTCATCGTTGTCGTCGCGATGCCTCCGAGCCTGGGCCTTGCGACGGCCTTTCCCCGCCCCCACGCCCTCCCGCGCAGCGAGCAGACGGAGAAACGACGCGACGTTCCATCGGCTACTGCCCCCCCCACGCGCCCGTTCACAGCCGGCACGGGCAAGACGGGACGGGACGAGCGGGCGGGTTGTCGTCGCCCGCTTGGGTCGGCCGCTCACGGATCAGAGCAGGCCCCACGGCGCAATGGTGGTGGGCGCCACGGACTGTGGCGGGCGAGTCTGCGTGCGTGAGCGGTCGGGTCATTCCTGGCCGAAGCCCTCCGTCTCCTCGATGGCGTAGAGCAGCTTCTCCTTGAGCTGCTCGAAGCTTTTGTACGGCGGGAGGTCCAGGCGGTTGAAACTGTGCAGGAGAGAGTGGGGGGCGGGGGAAGGGAAAAATCAATAACAGATACGGCAAGCCCTCGCTTAACGCGTTACAACGCTGTTTCCGAGCGGTTGTCGATGGACTACTTTCTTGAGCTGCGCGCTATCCAAGCGGTGTAGGAGTTCTGGGTGGTACGCACGGAACGATGCGGCTTGCGGCGGCGTACCCTCATCTCAGTTCGTATCCCGCCATCATCTCGCCGCGTGCGCGTACGACGCGTCTTGCCAAACTTGCCAAACTTCACCGTGACATTACGTCTCACGGGGCAATTGCTTTCGCTCGACGCTTTTTTCGATAAAACGCGGCACTTATCAGGAGCGTTTCGACCGCGTGAAACGAGCATCTACTGTAAAAGGTAAACATTCATCGCTGTGTACAGGTTTTTGTGGATTCATTTCTCCTGCATCTAAGTGGTAGAGCTTAGTGACCTGCCTAATCCGTCGCCTTTGCCACTGCAAACGTGTCTGGCACATCATTCGACGTTTCGCTCCGCGTTCTAGCAGCTTCTTCGGGAAACCTATCCGATCTCACAGCTCCATCTCCACGGTGCACGTGCCGCTCCTTCCCAAGTCTTCAAGGCAAGAGAGAGGAAGGGTGGGGGTCGGGGGGGGGGCTCACCAGGTGTGGCTTCGAGGCAGCCAGGTGTCTTTGCCGACTTTCTCGATGCAGAACTTCTGCGCTCCGTTGCTCCCTGAGGACACACGAGGGTACGGTACAGACTCGTCGGACGGCAAGGCTTGGTGGATCACCCTCAAGATTTGTGAAATGCCCAACTCGCCCCAAAGAACATCCCCCCCGGATTACAGCCTTCGACATTTTGGGGGCGAGTGCTGTCAGCGAGCACCTATTAAGGCCGACAGGGTACAAGGACCGGTTCAGATGTGGTGTGTCACTAATGTTGGCCGTGAGCAGGAATCGAACTCGGGTCGCCGGGATTGTCGCGCGGCACGCTAACTACTGCACCACCACTCTATCAACACACACACACACGCACCAGACAAGATGATAAGTCTCCAATAGAGTGTGAGTGTGTGGAGTTTTTATACTCTTTGGTATTTTCGGTAAAGTCACGTAGGTAAAAAAAAAGAAAACAAATAAATTAAATCACAACGTTTCGGAGGCAACACAAGCTTCCGTGTTCAGGTGAAACCGTCACAGCAAAATTGATACAGCAATTTTGCTGTGACGGTTTCACCTGAACACGGAAGCTTGTGTTGCCTCCGAAACGTCGTGATTTAATTGATTTGTTTTCTTTTTTTTTACCTACGTGACTTTACCGAAAAAACCAAAGAGTATGAATCCTTGCAGTCACGAAAGCTTCAAATCTAGAATGTGTGGAGTTTGTATTTCTGATATAAGGCAGTTGTTGTCGGTGGTGTTCGTATGTTGTTCGTATGTTGTTAGTATGTTCTCCCTCTGTTCTGCAAGGGTTTCCTCCAGATTCTCCAGTTTCCTCCCATAGCTAAACCCTCACACACACACAATGTCACTGGCGTTGACCAAAAGCAACATCCCAATGGTAAAAAGTATTTATTACTCATTTATATATTAGTGACTTGCTTACCATTCCCTCAATTTTAGCAATGCTATCGTTTTTGTTGTATTGGTTGCTGTTGAAACTTGCTGACCTGCCGCACCCCCCCCCCCCCCACCATGCTGGACATCTGTGATAAAAAGTTTCGTAGATCATCGGATTCCTCCTGCAGTTTTTCTCATTGTGAAAAATTCATCCAAGACAATGACAAAGATCCCCCGTAATAGCCTTAGCAGACTGTCGGGGCAAGTGCTGTTAGCGAGCAGCACCTATGAAGGCCGGCACAGCGCACGAAGGGGGTGGGTGGTTAGCACCATGCCCGGCCGCCTTTGTCTCCCCCAGTGGCGATGTTTTTACACACCACACCAGGTACTAATTTGAGGCCGAGTCGACCTAGGGGAGGCCTAGGACCAGTTCAGATAATCGTCACCGGTGTTGGCCGTGAGCGTGAATCAAACTCGGGTCGCCGGGTTCAGAGCGCAGCGTAGCGCTAACCACGACACCACCGCTCCCCTCATTGGGATCGCATACACACAGCAGTGCCAGCAGCATAGCCCGCCCCTTTGCTACGAAAAACGAATTATCTACATTATTTTGCTGCTCTCAATGTCCAAATTACAAGTCCATTTTGTTTGAGCTATCATTTGTGGTGGCCAGGTCACTCCTGAAGAATAAGTTCATACCTCAGTGGGGCTTTGCCTGGTAGGATGGGGATGATTTCGTGTTGTATCTGTATGAGTTTGGGCGATTTGTTTACCTTTCTTGTACTTTGCGCGACTATCGTGTTTTTGTTTGTTGTTGTAATGTCCTTACCCCGTGTCCCTTACCGGAGACCTGCGAACAAGAGCTTCAACGCTCATCGGATTCCTCCTGCAGTCTTAACAAGTAAGATTGCTGAGCGAGTGAAAATCGTCGCTCACCCATGAGTTCGTTGAAGCCTCCGACGGGAAGGCGGCACGTGCCCGTCACGAACTGGAGCAGGCGGGTCCTCTTCTCATTGTCCATTTCCCGCACCACCTGTCCCCGCCACAAAGACACGGAGGAGCACCGTCTCGATTTAAAGCTTTCGTGACTGCAGGGATTCATCTTCTTGGTTCTTTCGGTAAAGTCACGTAGAAGGGAAATAATAAAATAATAAAATAAAACATAATAAAATAATTCTCACGACGTTTCGGCCACAACGCAAGCAGCCGTCCTCAGGTGAAGACCAGGTCTGTCGGGGAGACAGCGTCACCTGAGGACGGCTGCTTGCATTGTGGCCGAAACGTCGTGAGAATTATTTTATTATGTTTTATTTGATGTTTTTTATTATTTCCATTCTACGTGACTTTACCGAAAGAACCAAGAAGGACGAGCACCGCTTACGCAAAGCGTGCTCACAGAGTCAACGCTGGGTGAGAGGGGGGGGGGGAGAGGGCGGGGGGGTGGACGGAGGTGGGGGGGGGGATGGCCCGGATAGTAACAACAATAGCTATCAATCTTGATTTGAAGCTTTCGTCACTGCAAGAATCCATACTCTGGTTCTTTCGGTAAAGTCACGTAGGTAGATAAATAAAATAAAACAACTCACGACGTTTCGATCGCAACACCAGCGGTCGTCATCAGGCCGCTTGTTGCGATCGAAACGTCGTGATTTGTTTTATTTTATTTCATTTCTAACTACGTGACTTTACCGAAAGAACCGAAGAGTAACAATAGCTACAGCACTAAAAAACGTAGCTACAATAATAATAATAAGGTGGTTATAATGCGCACGTAACGTAAAGCAAAGTTATGTTTTTTGCCCGAGGGGAGCCCCGAATGGCAGCTCGTCCCCGCGTGGCACAAGGCGGCTCGGCGGCACGGTGAGGCACGGTGAGGCACGGTGAGGCACGGTGAGGCACGGTGAGGCACGGTGAGGTACGGTGAGGCACGGTGAGGTACGGTGAGGCACGGTGAGGTACGGTGAGGTACGGTGAGGTACGGTGAGGCACGGTGAGGTACGGTGAGGTACGGTGAGGCACGGTGAGGCACGGTGAGGTACGGTGAGGCACGGTGAGGCACGGTGAGGTACGGTGAGGCACGGTGAGGTACGGTGAGGTACGGTGAGGTACGGTGAGGTACGGTGAGGCACGGTGAGGTACGGTCAAAACAATCGGCGGCAGCGACCGCTGCAGCGGCGTGCGTGCCCCAGCGAGGCGTGGGACGGGGGGACGGGGTGCGGGGAGTGGGGTGGGGGGGGTGTGGGGCGGGGGCCTGAGTCGACCGTCTTCCCGCGTGCGAGTGTTGGTTGTGTGCGCGGTGTGTGGAGCGGTCGTCGGAGCACCGTGATGCAAACCCGACTACCGCCCCCCCCCTCGTCGTATAATACTCGGTGCAGTGCGGTGTGCGTACAACATCACCAACCGGAGAGAGACCAACTGCGGCGGTCGGGCGTGGCGCTACCCACACCACCCACTCTCGTGCCCGCCTTCACGGGTGC